ATATATATATATATATATATATATATATATATATTAACCAATTTTTTTTTTTTTTTTTTTTTTTTTACTACAGACAAATGGAGTTTTTTTTTTTATATCGATTTTTATAACTATCATTCGAAGATCAAAATTGACCATCTCTTGCGCTTTTATTTCGTTATTACTATAGTATTTTAACTAATAAATGTGCGTTATTTTGATGTGCTTTAACAAGGATGTTTGTTTGAAGAAGGTATCGAAAACCTTTCAAACAAGCGGGGGAGGAAGCCCTGTGGTTCCGTTTAGTATTGATGTTGTTGATAAAACTGCAGGACAGGTTAAACAGGTGACAGGGTGTCAGGTTTCATAAAGAGGATTACGTGAAGCGGAGGGGTTTAACAACATACGATCTGGATCCAAAAATACTTCGATAAACTGTAAGCTTTCGTCTGCCCAACAACGAGGTAGGTGAATTATCTTTCCCGATGAACAACTGAAATATACAAAAGAAGGTTTTGTTGTATAGTTGACGTTCAAACAAAGAAAGTGATAAACAGCGAGCCACCAGGACAGGTGTGGCACCTGTTTGACTGAAGCCCAGACCTCAGGAAACATTTCATGCAGAAGTGGCCTGATACACAAAGGTTTTAATATTTAATATATTAATATTAAGACACTGGTCTTAATATTCAGATACTGCTTGTTTTTTTTGTTTTTTTCGATCATGGTATTATTATTTTTTGTGGTCCCTTAGTAACCCCAGCCCCCCAAACCATACCTAAATGTTGTTGTCAATAACTTCTGTAGGCAGAAGCTTATCCTGAACTGAATCAAAGATCAGTCAATCAATGAATAAACAAATAAGATAGTTTAAATGTTTTTTGTGACCCATTTTCAGGTACCAATAAATTTCATCTTTTTATTCTGTAATACTTCAGAGGAGTTTTACTTTTAAAACTTTTTTTTTTTACCTTTTTCAGTTTTTTTTTATTGTGTTTTTTAACAGCTTGACCCCCTATTGCTTTTATTATTACTGTTCTACACCTATAAATCCATCCATCATTCCATTTTCCGTCATGCTTATCCCAGGCGGGGTGGAGAGGGGTGTTGGTGCCCATCTCTAGTTGTCTACGGGCGAGAGGCGGGGTGCACCCTGGACAGGGTCCATCGCAGGGCAACACAGAGACAAACAACCATTCACGCACACACTCACACCTAACAAAGAATTTAGCGAAGCCAGTTAACCAGTCATGTTTTTGGACTGTGGTAGGAAACCGTGGTACCCGGTGAGAACCCAGGCATGATAAGGGAGAATATGCAAACTCCATGCGGAAAGACCCTGAGCCGGGAATCAAACCTGAGTCCTTCTTGCTGCAAGGCAGAAGTGCTACTCACTGCAAGCAGCCCCACCCATAAATCAACACATCTTATTCTGTGTAATTTTTACAACCAATTATTGTAGTAGTGTCCATTCAGCTATACAATTTTCATGTACAATGACACCATTTAATTAGCGTTTCTATTTAGGTTATGTTTAACAACCCCAAGCGTTTTTTTTTTGGTGTCATTTCTTGGCGTAGTATCCTCAGATGTTTCACTGATTAACAAAACAATTTTTTTGAAGCAGCACAATTTCTCACTAAAATAAAAGAATGTCAAATTGTTGATACAAGTAAAACACCTTCAGAGGAGAAAACAGAACATCAACAAAAATATAGCAGTTTCTTTAGAAAAAGAACATCAGGTGGCTCTGACAAAAGACTGTGCATTATACCCACTGTTAAGTAAAGTGGCAGATCTATAATGCTGTGGGCCTGTATAAAAACCTTTTGAAAAACAAGGAGATTCAACCAAAAGTCTGTTAGATTAAGCAATCATGAAGCATAAGGTGAGCAGTGAAGAGCCAGATTAAGCAGTTGCAGTGCTTTTAACAGTGCAGTGGATTTTAAATCCCAAAAGTGCATTTCTTCCTTACTGGATAAATGTCATCAGAAACTGGATTTTTCTCAGTTTTAGGGGCATTAGATTTAGCTGATGCTGTAAAGGCCTAATGCATAGAGTTTTATATTACACATCTTTAACAGGGTTACAAGTTTTTGAGATGTGTGGGTTTTCAGGATAAGACCAGGTGTTTTTTTTTTTCTAATAATCTTAGTGATGTGGCTATGAGTGTGAGCAACTAACTTGACACATAATCCTGTTCCCTTCTTCTCAATCAGTTTGACCATGGTACAGAAGTATGACGGGTTGTCCCACTGTAAGCTGGCTCTGGTGTTTGCCGTGGTGATGGATGTGCTGGGTGTGACGTTCCTGCTCCTGGGCGTCTTCGCTTCACTAGAGATCAAAGGCAAAGACTTTGGGGACCTGCTGGTGTACTCCGGAGCTCTGCTGGTGCTGTTTTCCATGGCTGGCTGGGTGCTTTGGTATAGCGGCAACATCGAAGGTCTGCATTTACAAAAAAACCTGGATGGCAATATGGGATCTGCTGTGGACAGACTGGCCCGCACTCTCAGCCGAAGGATACGGCTCCCAAGGACGCGCAGCAGTCCATCTTAAGTCTGTTTATTTTATTTTTTTTTAACCAATTACTTGGAAGAAAGGTTCATGCTTTATGGCTTTACCTTCATGTCATTTTTGAATAAAAAAAAAAGTTTTTGCAATTAATGTTTTTATAAACGGAATCTGTTTCTTCTGTGTATGTGTAAATGATCTACTTCCTAAATACTCTTTGGACATAAAAATTATCGCACTGAGAATACTTTCTGGAGAAAAGTACCACACTGAATAAAGTTTATTATTATTTTTAGCTTCTCTATGAAATTTATTTAGTAATATTATATAGGTGCATGGTGCATCTCAAGGCATCAGATCAACAAAAATTTATTTTAGTAAATCAAGTAAAAAGCAAAGCTATCAAATATTTCTGTTAATTTCCATGACCATGGCTTACAGCAGATGAAAACCCCAAATTCTTCCTTTGGGAAAATCAAAATATTAATTAAGACCATCATAAAATTGCTTACTATAAGTACATGCTGTCAATATACTATGAATCTCATGCACTAAATATCTAGTTGGTGCTCCTGGTAAACATTACTGGATCAGTTCATGGTGGCATGAGGCCAAGGTTGCCTTAATATTGGCCTTTGAGTCCCCTCCAGGGTGGGGTTAGGCGTTTCTCATTTTCCTTTTGACAATACTCCATAGATTGTCTTTGGAGCTCAGTAAACACCAGCAGATTCATTGCTTTCTGTATCTTCATGACTCTAGAAACTTTAATCAGAATTCAAACTGGAATATGTTCATCTCTACTCTTCCCCCAGACTCTGGGCCCTTGATTTAAAAAAGTAAATATTCAAATGATCTTTCACCTGAAAAGCAGACTAGACAACTGAGTGTAGTGTTTTTCTTTCCCCTCCTAAGACTATTAAAAGAGTTCTGGGTCACGACCCTCTCAAGCCTTTGGGTTATCTAATGCTTGTGTGTCTGCTGAACAAGTCTATATAAGTTTGGAGATTATATATATACTGTATATATATATATATATATATATGGGCACAGGTAATATGGCAATTTTCTGAGTTTTAATCCATTGATGCATTTTACCTTAATTGAATCAAGTTTATCATTAAATTCAAATCAGTTTATTCATACAGCAGTAATTACCAACACGTAATCTTTAAAGGGTCAATTCAATCAAATCATCCAGAAAGATTGGTTAAAAGTTCTCCATCTAAGGAAACCCCCATGATTACATTAGGTCACTGAATTTGCAGCAATCTCTCACACCGACCTCACACACACACACACACACACACACACACACGACAGTGGGGAGGAAAAACTCCCCTTTAACAGGAAGAAACCTCCAGCATAACCAGGGTCAGTGTGAGCGCCTTTTGCCGAGGCTGACTGAGGGTTCAAGAAGACAGAGTCAGACACACAAATGCAACATAAAAGCAGGGATCCATGAAGTTTCCTTGTTAAATAAGGTGATAGTAAACTAGCACCATAGATGGCCACTATAGGGATAACTCAGGATAACCTGAGCTACTCTAACTATAGGAGTTATTAAACAGGAAAGTTATAATCTTAGTTTTAAAGTAGATAGAGTGTGTACCACTCGGATTAAAACTGGTAGTTGGTTCCACAGGAGAGGAGCCTGATTACTAAAAAAGGAGAACTTTAAATTCAACTTGGGAATTAACAGAAAGCAAAATGAAGGGAAGAAATATTAGAATAAATATTACCTCTTTTTAAAAGTTTGTTAGAACATCGGTTTCAGCATTTTGGATAAACTGAAGGCTTTTACTAATATTGTGTTAAAATCCTTCCTGATTCCTTCCTGAAAGAATTACGATTGCCAGTCTTGATGTAACATACATAAAGTAGTTTTGCTGAATCACTGCTGGACAAATTTCATTTTTTTTTTTTCTCCACAATATTCTCATTTGTGAGGAACGTGTATATGCGTTAGCATGGGAACATAAGATAATTCAAAATGACCAAGACGATTTTTATGATCAAAATCTGTATAAGGTTTATTGAGAACACAAACTTAAGTCTTTCCAAGAAAAGTAAGGGGCCTCTGTGACTGACACACTTGCTCAAACTTGTAATGCCACATGAATACTATACATAAACATTAAAGAGTATCTCTTCCTGATTTAAGAGAAACTTTTAGACATTAAACATTTTTATTATTAGGCAAAAATCTAAGATAAATAAATAATTTTTGAGAAGAGATTCAAAAAGACATTTTACAGAGACATTTATAAGGTTTTATGCAAGTTTGAACCACTGCAGGAAAACCTAAGAGTACTGGGATTAAAGCTAATACTAATTCCATCACATGTAGAATAGACACCGTACTTTAAATCCCCAGTTTGAATGCAGCATCTAAAATAGTATGAATTGATTGTCTTTGTGCTTAAAGAAGTAAACCCGTTTCCAGTATGTTGTTAAAGTTATGAAGACAGCACCTTTAACAGCAACCACATCAAGTTCAGCTCGATCATCCACAGATGAAGAAAACCAAAGATCTGCAGGATCATTGTTTGTGCAAAAGTCCATCAGATGGATACAACATATTAAGCTCATAACTGACCAAACAGAAAAAAAAAATATAGAGAGGCAGACACAATAATCAAAGCAAAGGAAACAAGCAAGGTATAGGATGTAAAAATATAAAATACGTATCTGAAAACATCCTTTTATTGTTGCTACAGTGAGATTTTTGTTCATTTAGTTCCACTATTGTCCCTTCTGGTACTGTAAATGTCTCTTTCACCTCATCCATCAAACGGCGATTTGTGAGCTGAACAGTCAGAGAGCAGGGCTGGGCACTGAGGGGGTTGGAATCTGCCAGATGATCATGTGACTACGTTCAGACCGCTGTGGTGTCGTCTGAGACACCTCATTCGATTCATCGCTTGCATCATCTCCTGAAATGTTACATTTGTTAAGCAGTGTTTCAGTATTGATTATACCTCTTATTAATGAGTCGGTTGTAAAATTTAACTCACCAATTCGGAAATTAATGTAGCCCTCCCCTCCACTGAGGATGTGCAGAGCAGTAGTTACATGGCTGCTGTCAGGAGAGGTGATCAAACAGCCTTAGGACATAAGCAGAAAAGGTTCATTGCATTATCCCAGGAAAAAGGATATTAACAGACTCTATAAGTCATTTCATTTAGGAAGTGTTTAACTTTTAATTGTAAGAAAACTTAAGGGGACTGATGGGAAAATAAATGCATTTCCTGAATTTATTGTTTCAGAAATCCAGATAGCTTTTTTCCAGAGTCAAGTTTATACCATAGGTCACTGCATAAACCCACTGTGGTCAGTAACAGGGTTAGTTTAACTTATCCTAAGTGCATCATTCATTTCAGATGAGACCCGAGATGAGGAAAGTATGAGAGATGCCATGTCTTTAACTGGAGGAGTAACATCTACAGTGAGTTGTAGAGGTTAGAGAGCAAAAGCTCATTATGTTCAATGGGATTAGAAGCATTTTAATTTGAGATTCATTGATGTTTTAACATCACAGTTTTTGCCACGGTCAATAATATATTTCAATGCATTTCAACCAAAGATCCCTCAAATTACACGAGGACAGGTTCTTTGTGCTTCAATCCATTTTTATGCTAAAGGTTAACTGTCTGGGATGTAATCATTAAATCAAACCATTACTATGCAGCACTGATGCCCTTCAGATTAACTATGTGTTTATGACGTCAGGGTGTTCTACTGGTGGAGTGGGGAGTGTCCCTACCTGCTGTGGGGGACATGGTGATCTGAATCCAGACTGGAATAGGAGTGTTCAAAATTAATTTTCCCCCCCTCTAATCACTGAACAGCTTAGGTTTTGTTTAATACCATTTTTCATTGGGCCTTAGCAGACAGGAAAGTTCCAAAAACATTTGGTGATACATTTATTTCCTCACATTAGGGTCAATTCAAGGCTTCTCATTTCCTCCTGTTGCCATGGTGAATCATATTATCCACCTTCCATTGATCAGGGCTTATGCCTGTGCTCACCCTGAACTGTGTGCTGAATTAAGTCATAGTTAAGTTACCTTGTTGATGTCACCTGTTCTGAAACCGAAAATCCTGAATATCACAAAAGCAAGGAATTTGACTCATTATAACTGCTCTCTATTCGGACGAGATTCACCCAACTTTTTTTGCAAAAGATGTCAAGCTGTTAATGAGTTTCACCAAAAGGACGCCTCACTTGACTAATGCAAGACAGGTTCAAATAATCAGTGTTGTGACTCACATGAGAAGACAGTGTACAGTTAAAGGTATAGTGGAAGGTTTTTGCGAATTTTTGAAAAGGCACTCTGTTTAAGAGTTGCTGTTTGCATCGCTCATACAAGCTTACCTTCCAAAAGAAGATTTGCAATTTTTCCACTATGTCAGAATCACCACCAGTAAGTGGAAAATGGGATGAGCACATGGGACGGCCTTATGTAAACATCACCAGATAATTGGTAGAAAGCTAAGAGGAGTTCAGAAATGTAACTGACAGTAAAAGGCAACTACTGTTGCCATTATTGGAACCAGCAAAATGTAAACCATGAACAATCACAGACAATGAAAGCATACAGGTTCACACATAAATAAAACTTCAGAGAAAACTTACCAGACTAAAAAAATAAGAACCATAAAAAAAAACTGTTTTTGTGTACCGAATGTACCGAAAAGATTCTGCAATAATTTTCGAACAGAAACATAATTTAGTGTCTTGATTTGAAGATCAGGCAAGCCACAAAGATGCCTTGAAAGAAAGCATGCTAGGCTGCAGTATTAGCTTCTTATATCTTACCAGGTGCAGGAATGATGAATTGGACAGCTTGTCTGTGTCCATGGTAAGAGAGCTGGACTGATGCAGTGGAACAGTACGGGATGGAAACTTCCTCTGATGCTGTAGACAGTTTTTTTGTTAACACTTGAGTCCATTTCTAACTGTGTTAAATGTTTTTGATTTCACATACTTATTGACAGGGGGATGGAGAAAATGGCACCGCCCCCGGTGCCCACCCAGAGACGACCAGAGATGATGGAGAGGGAGGAAATCTGGAGTGGTGAGAGTGTCACGTAGGACTGGCCTAAACAAACAGATGTGACAAAAAGAAAAGGCAAATTAAAAGTTTTTAAATCAGAAATTAAAACTAGAAAACTGCTGCCTTATAACGAGAAAACATTTGCAAAGTTTACATAAAAATCCCAAACAAAAAATAGTACGAGTACCTAATGTTTTAGTGACCACAGATGTAAAGTCAACTTCTTGCAGTGGCCTTCCAGTTGACCAATCAAACAGTCTTATAACTGGGTCAAGTCTGCAGGACGTCCAAACTCCACTCCCCCCAGCACACAGGAAACGCACCTGCTGTTCCATGCACTCTGATACGGAAAAGACTTGCTGTGCAGAAACATGAAAAATAATGATTGCAAATCCAAAAGAGCATGTTGGAATATACATGCAGAATACTGTGCAGGATTCCTGAATCATCCCTTGTTTCAAAGACAATTTTCTTCACACTTATGATACGTTTATTCATTTTACTCCACTGATAACCTGGTTTGAAATTGAATGATCTTCTTTTTTCAAGCTACTTAACTCTGACCTTTGAATATAATTTAAGCATAAAAATATTTCTAAACCCAGAAAATAAAGTTAGTAAATAGTTAAATAAGGAACCCAAACCTCACTGTATTGTATTATAACTATTTTGTTTTTTCCTTTTTACTGGAAACCATATCAACATTTTAAAAAGGCCTGGCAAGAACCCTGAAGGATAATCTGTGCATGGAGCCTAGGATTAGCGTGATGGCTAGGAATCTTTCACACCTGAAAGACTTTTAGCTCATTACTAAAGATACAAAGCAAAAAGATGATGCAGAGGCAAGGGATTGATTGTAGTAAAGAACAGTAAAGCATTTTTTTGCCATGTCTACTGTTAAAGATTTGAATATTTTGAGATGCTACAGTGCTGGGGTAACAGCATCAGAGAAAAGAATAAAAAGCGCCAAAAGCTGATACAGAAGGTTGTCTCTGTTCTAGGAACTCCTCTAGGACCTCTCGAGATGATTTCACAAAGAGTTCTTTGTAAAGTGAAGAAGATTATGGACAACAGTGAGCATCCTATTCATCAGACTATTAAAAAACATCAGCATCTTTACTCAATAGACATACAAGATCAGAATAATGATTCGGGAAAACAGATTCATTTCCTCACATTTTGACCGTCTTCAGAGAACTTTTTGAAACATCAAAACCAAAAAAACAAAGCTGACTCCCTAAGAACTATTCGCTGAAAACCTGATGCCTCTCTGGTTGCGTGTCAGGACTTTTACTGTTGATGTTTTCTACTTCCAATACAGATCTCTTTCAGATACTGTTTATCTGTTGAGGATGGGTTTTATTTACATTCCCAACCCTGGAAAATATTTACCTAGATTATCTTTAAAACCTAAGAAGAAACTCAGTTTCCTACAAGAGAAAATTATTGTTTCTTACCTCTACTTTCTTGTTTTCAGTGTCTACAATATGGACTTTATTCCAGTATCCAACCCATAGACGAGCACCTTTTGCGAGGCAGCAGCGGATGGGCTGCAGATGATTTGCTCCAAGAGGCATCACAGAGTGAGGTTGCAGATTCCATCCGTCTGTGGATTGAAGGGCAATACATTTCATGATTTCCATCAATAAACTTTAATTCCATAAAATATGCAAAACCAATACACAGATTACCTGCAGTTTGAGAAAAAAATGCCAGACTACCATCAGCTAATCCGGCAATAACCTGATTGTTGGAGAACCTGTGAGGTCAAGTTGACACAGAGTAGACCCCTTTTGAATACAATCTTTAAAGAGATGCTAATGTACAAATAAAGAGCAGCATGTACTCACGTGAGTGAATATACACCCTCTAAGAGAGACACAGTTTGTACACAGCGCCTTCGGTTTGCCAAAGCTGGATATATTTGGATACTACAACACAAAGAAAAGATGGTGAAAAAAAAAAAAAAAACTTCTTCAAAAGGCCGTTATAATGTGTTACATGTGGAACATATCTGCTTTTTTCAGTTGATGCTACCTTCCTTCCTGTGTTCCAATCCACACAGTTCCTGCTGTGTCTTCTGAAAAAATAAAACCAGCAAGATTGTGTCAAAGGAAACTGAGCGAACATTTGGTGATAAATGGAGTCCTAATAAAACTCAAGCAAAACAGCAGCAGCCAAATGATCCAGGACTGACCTATGGGGGGCACGGCACAGATGCAGAGGACGGGGGCAGTGGGAGGGAGGCTGAAATGGTCCAGTACTGTGTTGGACCGTGCTGGGTCAATCACTGTGATTTCACTGCAGGATGCAGGACCCGAAACAACCCAAACAGAACACTGAGCAGAGCAGGGCGGATGCACAGCGTGGAAACATGACTCAGTTTGTGTTTGTGACGTTAGTTATGACAGAGTGATGATGTATCATTAGACGATGACTGGGGTTGCATTTAACCAGGATGTTGGCAGACTTACTGTGGCTTCTCCAGAGATATCAGGAGTGACTGCAACAGCGCAATTGAGCTGGAGAAAGGAAAACAAAATGAAGTCAGAAGGTATTTTTATTCCAAAAGTGTGATGTAAATTTTTGTGGGTTTACCTTAGCAGTGGAGTCTCTTTGGTCCAAGAGTCTGAGTTGGATCAGAACAGGTACATCTTTAGGCTCTGATACAGGCTCCCCTGACTCCTGAAATAATCACATTTAATCCTACAGTTAAAGCGCACATCTAACTACCTGGATTTTAAGTGCTAGCATTATGATTAGGCAGTTAGGAGAGCAACAGATGCTCATAAGGCAGTCTGAGGAGTACCCGAGTGTTTGCCAGTGGCAAGCTCCAGCCGTGTATGTGCCGCTTTCCTAGGCTTTCCCAAACGTTGGAGCGGATGTCTCTGTACAGTTCCCTCCTTCGCGCACGTGGTGAAACACCAGCGGGAGCAGCAGATCTGAAGAAAATGCTGCATGGTTCTGATCTCTTGACAAGTAAAATCTCACATTCTTAAAAAAAATTTACATATAGCACAAATACAGAGATGCAGAAGATATCCTTCTTCAGGATGTGTAAGAGCTACCAGGCTGCATTATCAGCTAAACTCTTTAATGGAGATGCTGTTAATGAGTGATCAAGCCCCAACTTTGCTTTTTTCATTATTAGTGAGGTATTTCTAAACTGAGCTAAATAAAGCACAAAGATGTGGAAAACCTCTAAAAGGAAAGGGCTAAAAGGGAGAGCAAAACTTTCAGCAGGAAAACAGGAAGGCTAAACAGACTTCAGCAAGTTGGGTTGTTTTTATTCTTTAGAGCTTTGAACCTGTGCCAATGACAGAAGATAATAGATTTGAAAATGTTGTCCATCACTTGGAAAAGTGATAAACATGAGCTTAAAACTGCTGAACGCTTCTGTAAGTCACTAAATATACTCATGCTTCCAGTAAAAATTCATGACTGTTAAGTTAACTGGTAACTTCAAACTGCTCTTCAGTATATTGATGGTTGTTTTTCCTGTGCATCTTTGGGTTGGACTTGTGACGTTTATGGGGTATATGTAATGACAACTGGAGATAGACACCTGATATAAATTTGTCTCTGGAATAATGCAAATAAAATTTAAAAAATGTGCTTACTCAGCCTGGGTTTTGTTAATGGTTGGTAGCTGTGGAGACCCCAGAGGGGAGCGGTTAAGTGACGAGGAAGCTGGTTGGACAAATTTAGAAGTGGGAGGAGGTACCAGTGGCTGCTTGGTGAGGCCAAACAAGCGGTTGAACCTAAATGCAAAGAGAATAAAAGGGAAAATAAAATCCAATAAAGAAACATCAGTATCAGAAACACAACACAACCTGTAACCACATAGTGATTCGAATTAATAGTTTTGTTATACCTTCAGTTTTAGACTTCAAGCTTTAAGAAGCAGTTGTTGGAAAGCCTAAATTTCTGACAGCTCCACATTTTGTGATGATCCTTAACAATATTTTATAAATGCATTTAGTGTGCGCTTCTGTTTTTGCACATGGTGATCCTATATTGACAGAGTGTATTACCCAAATTCAGTCTTTGCAGTCTTTCAAAGTGTAAACAAATTACTCAATTGTCTGACTGGTGATGGTGTATGGTTAAAAAAAAGATCTGCATATCTATTTTTAAAGTAACCTTGCTTGCAAGTAATTTTCACTGTATTTGTGCATTTTTACTGAGGCCGAGAGCGGTCGTACTCAACTTTAGATTTTTTCCTTTGCCTTCTAGAGAAAACGACATAACTACCTCATTATCACGGCTTAACAAGTAATTTTTTTCTCCACATAACAAGATAATTATCTTATTATCACAGGAAAACAGTTACTGATTTCTCGAGATAACGAGATGATTAACCTGTATGAGTTATAAATTAGGCTAGCCAACAGCCCTGGATTCCCATTCCATCCATGCCTGCTGTGCCCGTAGTTTTGCAGTCACGGTACCTTGTGTGTGCAAATAATATTTTTTTTAGTTTTCTATTTCTTTTCATTAATTGTCAGGTCATGGAGGATGATTGGATTGCATGGATTACAGCAGAAAGAAATCGGAATATTTTTTAATTAATTGTGGGAGTTAATGCATCTTATACCTGTTACAGGCGTAACACTGGGGCTGTTCAGAAAACACCAGAAGCTAAGGCGCCGGGGTCATAGGTCTAACCAACAACTTCGGATTATTTACAGAATTACACATAGGCTGCCATGACTTGAAATAAAGCACAAAGATCCTCTCCCTCTTTTGTGGTATTGAAAGAAGTAATCAGTTTTAACACACATCAATCATCTCGTTATCACGAGACGAGGGCTTTCTAATGAGAAAACTATCATCTTGTTATCACAAGAAAACGGCTTTCCTTATCTTTAGATAGGGAGAAAATTAATTTGTTTTCTCGAGAAAACCACCGTGAAAAAGTATCTGAGGGACACGGCCGCTCTCGGCTTCCGTACGTTTTACACACAACTGTCCCAGGTTAATAGTGTGTAGAACTAAACTTGACCGCCATCTTATCCATCTTAATAGGTTAAAAATTAGCCTTGAGGGTGGGACACATATCACGTAATAAAAATTTATTTCCTTCAGTTTTCCATACCGCATATTACTGTCATATTTTACCACAATCACAGCTTAGGAAAAGGCTGATTTGGCTATCTGAGGGATATTTGTGTGATTTCATTAAAGCAATGCAGATTGAAAACGTGGGGATCATGTCTGCCAGGTTATTGATATCAAACTCTTGGATGAAGCTGCACTTCAGGTGATAAAATTATGGGTGTATAAAATGTTTCAATAAATACATTAAACCAGTAAAAGCAGATAGATGGATATTACTTTTTCCAAATACTGGATCTTCTCTCCTCTGTAAGCTTCTCCACTTTTGTTGCTCTAAAAAGAGAGAAAAAAAAAGGTTTTCATAGAGGAACAGGATGAAGTCTGCATACAGATATGTAAACTGTTTATTAAAGCTTTGAATTCAGTAAAAAAAAAAAAGAAAAAAGAAAAATGAAATCACCTGATTGTCTGACTGTGTCTCAGAGCCTCCTGTAGCTCAAACAGACGCTGCTTATACTGGTTCTTCTCCATGACCACACGGGCCATTTCGGAGCGAGAGAAGGGACGCATGGTTGTGGGCACACTAGCCTGCAATGGAAAAGGATCAAAGATTTTATTTAAAAAAAAGGATCATAATTTACAATGCATATTTACTGAATACAAGATATTTCTTTACATCAGCATCCTCAGGCTGGCACCTGTCCAGCTCTGTCCTGAGTCTATAAGAGACAGTGATCAAAGAGGATAGAGTATGTTTCAGTAAAACAAGCTGAAGGTCAAACATGTTCGGAAATAAGTGAAACATCTATAGCGCATTCTGCACCTCCTGATTTCCTCCTCCTTCTCCTTCAGCCGTCCCTCCACATGTGCCACCGTTTCCTGAAGTGTCGCCACTTCCAGGTTGAGGGCAGAGCGATCGTCGGTCAGCTCGACCACCCGGGATATCAGAGCCTTACGAGCAGCTTCAACTGACTCACTAAAGACAGACAATTCAGATTAGACTTTTATGGGATTATTTGGAAACTGGCACAGAAAATGCTTGAGGCTGTGAAAGTAAGTATGCTCTCAAGACTTTAAACATGACACAAAACTTGGCTTCTAAATAAGCAGAACAGAAAATAAATTTTGTCAGATTAGCTCTTTTTCACTCTATGGCATCTTTGCTGTATCAATTTGGACCAAAGTATTAAGTTTTGGTGCTATTTAACATTTTTCCTACCAATATTTGTCAGCTCAACAAATGACCATTAACGATATATTCGTGTAGGTTAATATTGTTAACGAGCTGTGAACACTGCTAAAACCCAATAAGGCAAACATGTCTGTTTTCTTGTCAGAAATTTATGTTCCATCAAGTGGAAATAGTTTCCTCTTATCCAGTTCTTCTGACTATGTTATGAGACATTAACGTTTTTTGATTGTTATTCATTTGTTTATCTGAATGGGCAATATCAAAGAGACTGAAAACTGGGAAGAAATCGATTTGGCAATATATTGTGATTTCCGGCTGCCTGATAAAATGTCAATGTTTCAGGTTCGAATATCGATTTAAAAAAAGAAATAAAATTATCTAAACCTGTGAGGGAAAATGGGCTACCTCTGTACTGCCACTCTGGTAGATGGCGCTGTGGAGCACCTTTGCTGTGTGCTGTATTTTTGTAGTTAAGGCAGCCATGGTAGAAGACAGACTGACTCAAACTCCAAACATGGATTTTGAAGAACATATACAGCTTGCTTTTTTATCTATATATTTAATTTTGATAGCTGGGTAAAATATCACAATATATATATATATATATATATACACAGTAGCAGCCATTAAAAATTCCCCAAATTTCCTTTTTAAACATCAACCTTTGTACTAAAATAATCTTTCTGTCATGATTTATGGACATTAAGATCTGAAGAGAAGCCTCAACTCCTGGTCAGACCCTGTAATTTAGTGAAAGGATGGAGTCGCAGGGGAGTAGGCTGCCATTTGGCTGGTGTTTGACTGGGAAGGGCCATTTTGAACGGCTGTTATGGTAGTGATAATACAATATGGTGATTAATACTGTATCATGACGCATGTATCGTATTGCAACATACATGCCAATACTTTAAAAAACTGAAAACTTGAGCAGAGATTTTTTTATTTTATGAAAAACACACAGCTTTACTGGAGGAGATTTTTTTTTCTTCTTTTTGTTATAATCAATGTTGCAGATGGAGCTGACCGTAAACCCACTTTAAAAAAAGAAACTGCCTCTCTCTAGTTCTGGATTGTCGATAGATTTGTCTAAAAGCCCAACCTTACAAAGTATCCTACATGAAATAGAAATTATTTTTAGAACACATAACTTTTGACACGTCTGTTCCAAAGAGCACAAGTCAGTCAGAAAAAAGGGTAGGTTCCTGTGTGGTGAATTTGATTTTAAAGATGTACCATTGACTAAGTATAAGAAGTAAAAAGCAGTTAAATTGTATTTCTTTTAAACTTTTGTATCATATTTTATCTACGAGTATCCCATATCACCCCTAAAGTGGCTATTTGTAAAAAAAAATAATAAAGAACTGAGCATTGTTTTTAAAGACCAATGTAAATAGGAAGAATAATTCTATTAACTAACTCCACTTGCAAAGAGGTGAACACACATGCTGCTGACCGGTCAGCTGAGAGCAACTAATGAAGGCCGATTGGAGTGTCCCGGTTTAGAAGGATTCCCAATTGGCTGGTCTGTCAAGCCGAACCAGCCCAAGGGCAGACATGGCTGCAGGCGGATCAGCACGTCTTACTGGGTCAGGCTGTTAGTTTGCATATTAAAGGGAGATATTAAGGTTGCCTCCAAATACAGAAAAAATAATGAAGAAAATAGGAGTGGGTGTAATTAAGAAAGAGTCAAAGAAGGAAAAGGACATGGGAGCAGCAAAGAAGATAAAAAAAACTCTTTGCATGAGCACCTCTTGACAGTTAGAGGAATATAAAAACCCTTTGAGAAATCTGAAAGATAATACAAATATTTTCTTTTTTTTTCTCAAGATACCAAGCCATTTGCAGGATTTCTTTTTCTGCTCTGAAAACGTTGCCATAAATGCACCAATAGATGGATTTGTTGATGTGAAAATGTTGGTTGAATGGCAAAGCTAGCAGTTCTCCTTTTGCTCTGTAACAAGTGTTTGTAGAGAAGCAATTAACCCATGTGAGAGAAAATCTGAAAATACTTTAAAAAAAAAAAATCATACCAAAGCAACTGTGAACACAATGTATGTAAATGTGGAACTCACTAGAGGACTTTCAATTCCTCAAACTGGGCAAGAATCTCCTCAAACTGATCGCCACTGCCTAAAGAGACAAAGGAAACAACACATTTTGAAGCAAAACTCTGATAACAGCAAGCTGTGGAATGCCTATAATCTGTGTGTCAAGTTTAGTATACATAAGTAAACGTTTATTAAGATTTAGTGCTTTGGCTACTGTAACAAAGTGAATTATTTTTTAAACAAGTCACGTGATTTGACGTCACATCAGGAAGTCAAACAGTCGGCTCTGTGTGGAGGATAGGTAGTTATCATGTAGAGTCTACGTGTTTTTGAGTTGGGTAGAATTTTGAGATTGTTTATTGATCATAAACATAACCAAAGTATTGCGTTTGTGGAGGACGAACAAACTCGGCTGAAATGTATAAAACTTGTCCCCTCAGAGGGACTGAGATGCCACTGCTGTTCCACGGTTGCAAATCTTACTAGCACAGACAGCTCAATAAACAGGAGATCCCACACACACCTGCTAGTGGACGGCTGATTGGGATAGATATGAATGAGGGAGAAACTTTAAATAAATGAAAGAAAACCAGATATTTTCTGTGTGGCGGCAGTTTGGACAAAAAGCAGCGGACATGGCATACTGGCAGCTAGTGTTTCCTACTGCTTGTTACCTGAGATTCTGCGCTTTGGTCTTTTTTCTACTTCTAAAAACAGATCACTATAGAAAAATTTCTCAGTAGTATGTTTGTGGTCAAGAAAAATAGCAGGATATTGCTGGACTAAACTACCATTGAGAAATGCCTCCACTAACTCCAGGCTGCTATTCTTTGGCCATTAATTCTCCACCCGCTCTCTCTGCTCTCTTAGGCTACGTTCACACTGCAGGCCTTGATGCTCAATTCTGATATTTTTGTGAAATCCGATGTTTTTTGCGTTGCCTTTCATATTTCCAAATATATGCGACTTGTATGTGATCTCCTGTGTGAACTGCAGTCATAGAATGCAACTGTCCCGCATGCGCAGTAGAGGATGCAATGACGTCACAGGCCAGCGTGCTCTGTGTTTATGGAAGTAAACATAGATGGTAGTACCGGCGCGCATCTAGCTGTCTTTTCCAACCATAAAAACTCAATCTTTTCACATGGTTAAACATAAATACTGCTCTCCGCATCATCATCTCCCACGGTTGTTTTTCTTGCTGCTTCTGTGTAGCAAGATGCAGAATAGTGGCCTTTGTCGGGTATTAATGGCGTTCAGGTTGGATTCATCCGACCTGGCCGTTCAGACACAGGTTGGATTTGAAAAGATCAGATTCGTATCGGATTCAGGACCACATAGCCAAGTGGCCTGGGTCGGATTGGAAAAAAATCGGATCTGTGTCGTTCAGACTGCCATGAAAAGATCAGATCCAACTCACATATGGGGAAAAAAAAAAATCGGATTTGGGTCGCTTCAGGATGCAGTGTGAACATAGCCTTAGACGTCCAACAGGCTCATAGTTACAGGGTTCTGTCCCATCATATGTCAAGTTGTACACATTTAAACTCTTATTGTCTGGACTAGCATTACTATCCATTGCTTACTGGTGTAAAGCTAAGTGGACTCCCCAACTTTACGTCACTTTTGGTGCCCGTTTTAAATAAAAGAAAGCCTGAATAGTTCATATTTAAGTATATTTTCTTATATATTTTTCTAGAATGATAAAAGTGAAAGTTCTAACCTGCAATCTGCTCTTTAAGGTAACTGAGGTAACAGTGTCAGCTCTAATGCCTACATCCAACTGTAATCCACCCCCCCCCCCACGAAAAATGCTACTTTTATGTTAGCATTATTTGTTTCTCATCCCAAATGCACAGTAAAATATAGTGAAGCTTTTAAAAATGAAAAAAAAAAAACATGATTACCTCTAATGCTGGTGCCTTGGTCAACGCTCTCTAAATAATCTCGACTCAGTTCTGACAGTTCGGAGAACACAGAGTCTGTGTTGCGGAGGTCCCACTCCACGCTGTCCTCCTCATCCATCTCATCCCCTTTTTCCTCCTCCTCCTGGTTCTTTTCCTCCTTTTCTTCTCTCTTTATCTCTCCCACCTGCAGCTCATCCAAGTTACCCATCTCATCCACCAGGCTCCTCTCTACTTCATCTTTCAGCGTCTCGTCGGTTTGAGATTTTGCAGGGGTGCTATCCAGGACAGTAAGTCAAGGAGAGAGAAATGTTTTTTGACTAATAATCACATGCCTCTGAGGCTCTCTGCTCAAATCCCATAGGCTCATTAACCAACTCATTGTTTAGGGTTACCTTGCTTTTACACAGCCGTGAAACCGTGTCAGCTCAGGTGTTGAGCTTATTATGTCGATGACAAACTGATCCGTAGCAGGTTTTACAGTAAAATCAATTACTTTTTCTTCCTTAGTCACTAAAGCTTCAAGAACAGGTGGACCAGAGTTTGAATGTGGTCTCTGAACAATCTGAGACAAAGCAGCAAGAAACAACAGTTAGCTACAACCAGCTCAGAGCGTAAACAATGGATATGAATATACTTATAAGACTCTGAAAAATGTGGCACACCATTATTTCTAACCCCATTTTACTGAATAGCACTAAATAAAATAAAGCATAACCTGTCACTTTCAGAAGTCTTAAAAGCAATAATAGAATTCCCTTTGTGTGTAAAATAAATCTTAAGACTGCTCTGTAAAACCTTGGAGCTTTCATAGAGGACACTGGAGAACAGCTTTGGGAAGGGGCAGATAAGACAGGACAGACGGAAAGTTACAGAGAAGTTTAAAGCAGGTTGCATTCTAAGGCAGTGACTGACCATTAGCTATTTTGTGAAGAAGAATAAAAGGTAAAGATTTCAGTCAAAAGATGAGCCAAACTTTCAAGGGACTTGCAGCTGAAAATGCATTAAAAAAAAAGTAAAGATTCAGGGTGACTGAAGACTATTTGTAAAAAAACAAAAAAACAAACAAAAAAAAACGAGTTGTTTTCATTCCTTGGGTTAATCTTTAACATAATAATCAAATATATCAGAGAGTCAAGGGGTGTGAATACCTCTCTAAGTTGTTGCATACTCACCTTCTCATTAACAATGGGAGCAGATAACAATTGCTGAGATGGAGAGTCTGTGTTCTTGGAATGAATGTGATTCCTATAAGCAAAATGGAGTAAATGTAAAAAAAACTGAAAGCAGAAACAATAGTATAATTTTATATATAGATAAGCTTGTAGTAGTGAAGCCTTTACGTGGTGATAAAGCTGCTATCATGGATTATTCATATGTTTCCTGCAAATGACACTGAGCACACTACACTGGCTTTCAAGAAAACAGAGCTGTAAACAACCTTAGAGGAGAATCCCTTTCAGAGTCCTTCCTTTTATCCAGAAGTTCCCGATACAAGTTGGTCAACTAAGGAGAGAACATGAATGACATGTTAGAAAGAAGACATACCTACGTTCAATGGTGGTACAAATATAAACTGAACTGAACTCAAGTTCCCAAGTTAAACACAATTAGGAATAATTGTTAAATCAGCATTGTTCATCTGAGGCAGAATGCTATCAAGTAGTAAAATACATCTAAAAAGATTGCAATGTAACTTTGCAGACAGACCGATGTTTTATTGAAAAAACTAACAAACTACAAATTGCACCTTGGCCAGATGTTTAAAAGGCTTTCATCTTGGCTTAACTTTGCTGGTTTGGGAATATTTTCTTTTATTTATATATTTTTTTTTACATTCACTAGATAGGTTTTGATTTGCGGTCAAATTGGAATCACGAAAATAAATTTGCTAAACAGAAACACTACAGTTTTTAAAAAACTCACATAAAAAAAAAAAAGTAAGTTTATTCTTTGATGAGGTGATTTTTCAGTCGTATTAAAAAATTTTACATTTTGCAAACCTGCAATGGAAAGTTTTTTTGTTTTTTTTGCATCACATAGGTCACGCAATCTGCAGTTGGACGTATTGTCTTGCAGAAAGATGAAGAGGCCAGAAGTAGTTGGAGGATAATTGCACCCACTAGAGCTGTGGCTGAAAAATTAATAGATCCCCTGTGTATTGATTGAACAAATTTAATCAGATGCTATTAATAGCAATAAATAGTAGCAGATCAAACTTTTAGGGAACTTGTTACAAGAACTTTAATATTTAATATTTGCCATATTTTTTTTCTCTCTATTGTGTCATAATTTGTTTTAAAAAATATTCCAAGTTTGAACCGAGACACTCCAATGCTGGCAACTTCCTTTGTGCAATTTTGACAAGATACACCAAGAAGAAACTTTCCAATTTCCAACTTGGAGACAGAATGTACACACACAGTAACTCTGTACAGAAAACACCAAACCTCCAATGGTGGCCAGAGCATTATTCTACATACTAGCCCTCTGGGTTTGTGTCTTTAGTGTTTTCAGTCCGTCTGATCCAGCTCCTCAGCATCTCACAAAGTGCAGCAGAAGAATGTTAGTGACTCATTTACAGTTGGTTGTAAGGACCAGGGTTGCGAAACACTGAGTAAACTGATATTAAGGGCTCTGAGGATCAGGTAGGCCTTTAACCACACTGATACCAGACTTGAATGTTATGAATTATTCTTCTTATGCTAGTTTATATTTCTCCTTTTGTGTATGTCACATACATATATGTATAGAAACACATAAAAACCTGAAACCAATTCATTTCTGAACCTAGTATCATTGAGGTTTAGAAATGGAGGTATGATTTGAAGAAAACTTGAGGGAAGTGCTGCTGATATGTCTGATGCGACACCATCTACAGGTGTATCTTAGCTTGATATGATAAAACAGCATGAATGAGGAATTTTCTTTGAATTGGAGTTGTTTACTCACAGTATATTTTTAAATATCAGTGCTAGACTCTGCCTCATAAGAACAAGATTTTAAACAAATCTATAAAAGTAATAAACAATCTTCACCCCTAAAGACTATTTATAAATTTCTGTTAAGCATTGCTGATGTATGGGCTGCAAAAGAGTATCTGACCTTGTTGTGAGCATTTCTCAGCGTATTCAGCTCTCTAGAAAGGTTTGCCTTTTGCTCCTCCAAGGCCACCACTGGAAGAAAAGAAGACAAAGTTTTTAATGTCTTTAAAGCCAAAAGAAATTGGGATGCTGCCTAAAATATATGTTTAATCCATAATTTTATATCAATTTTCAATGTAGGGTCACAGGGGGGCTAGTGTCCTTGTATAATGCTCAATGGAAAACAGATAAGAGTACGCCCTGGACAGATTGTAAAACCCATTCATACACACAATTACAACTCAGACCAATTTAGGTCTATTTCAATTTAGAATAAGATAAAGACTTTATCCAACTTTCTTGTAACATATTTGAGACAAATTCAAACCAGGAATATTTGAGGGATAAAAGAAAATCTGCTCCATATGAATACACATTCTTTTATGACTTGGAGTTAGGGTTGTCACGATACTAAACTTTTCAACTCGATACCGGTACTAAGTAAAATATTCGATACTCGATGTCATTTTCGATACCACAAGGATAAAAACAAAGACTCCAAAATTCAACAGAAATTTTTTTCATTAATAAACAAAATACAATAAATAGATAAATAAATACAATAAACAATATTTTGAGGTTGTTTGCTGTGCACAATATTAAGCAAGCTTGATAAAAAACTTATAAAATTAAAATTAAGTGTTCCTTCCTTGGCTATGCTTTGCACACATAATGACACTAGCCAAACCGGTTAAAAAACAAAAATAATTCTCAGCAGCTGCACCTGTTACAAAAAAAGTCTGAAACCGAAAAGTGCACAAAATTATTCAATAACACAGTGTTCAGAAAGTGCATTTTCCTCTGATCTGCGCATAAGATGAATGACTGTTTAGGTGCCACTGGTGGTAGCACTGTATCGATACTTTTGAAAATGAGTATTGTATCCGGATACAACGTTTCAGTATCGATACTTTTTTTGAGTATCGATACTTTTGACAACCCTACTTGGAGTTGCAGAAAATGTGAGTCAATACACACACTTGATAATTCAAGAAATGGCTTCTGCTTGGCTTTACATAAATATTGGCCATTGAGTCTTTTACTGATGTTTCCTTAGTTAAAAAAGACATTGTGAACACAGCCTTCATTTTTTATACCAAAAAAAAAAAAAACTCACCTTGATCAGCCTGCTGTCTTGCCTTCTTCTCCAGAGCTCTCTCTCGCATCTCCCTCTCCTTCTCCCTCCCCCTCATGGCTCTCCTCTCTTGTTCGAACTGGTCATCCAATTCTAGATATTTCTAAAGGAAACCCATATTTAACAACTCAGAAAAACAAGAAAATGAAACCTTATATTTGTCATTTTTGCACAAGTTTTTGGTAATTTGGTGAGATTTAAAAAGCTTTGTTTCTTTGCAAGGACAACCCTAAATATCAAGCAGTTAATAGCCCACCTGAATAAATCTAATCAATCAATTAATGGATTTTGTATCAAGTCCAACCTCCTGACTTTCTTTCCTCAGAGCTTTCTCTGCTTGGTATCTCTCCAGCAGCTCCTCTCGCTCGGCTTTCTCCCTCTCTGCCTCCTCCTCCCTTTCCCTCAGCTGGTTTTTAAAGTTGGCCAGCCCCTCCAGGACCCACACAAATGTGGGCACCAGGGACTCCACCACACCTTCCCCATAGGTCTCAATAACAGTCTATGGTGTTGCAAAGAAGAGAGAGCCAACATGTTTAGCCACATGCAAATGACATTTTACTTACATTTGCATTGATAGTAAAAAATTTACAGAGGACAGAAAATAAAAAAACTTACTTGAAGTTCTGCATAAAGTTTTCCTGCCTCCTCACTGACAATGTTTGGGTCCAGCTCCACCTCCCCAGTCCCACACAGCACTTTTTCTCTGCAGTCCATCAGCTTCTTTGTTCTTTTTTAATACTGTATAGTTTACTATCAAAATGTCCTCCAAATTCCACACAAACAATTTCTCAAACTCTGAGAAAAGTGTTTGAATGCCTTTCCCCCTCAACTAATATAACTAGTCTAGCTAGCTCTCTGACATTTCTGCCAACACCGGCACCACCCATTCTTCACAGCTTTACTCTTGTTGGTAGCTAGGAAGCGCAGCATCCTCTTAGACTGCTGCCTGCAAACTGCTGCTACACTTTTGAGCTTCCATGGTGTAAGAAAATGTTTCAGAGCCCATCCTAAAAAGAAGAAAGGAAACTGATTACTTTTTCTCTATATTTTGATTGAGTCAACTTGTAAAAAAACTGAAGAATTGCAACCATAGGGCTCAACATCAACCAAAGCCACTTTATTGCTAGATAATTATATAGGAAGCATAATTTAACAATCACAGTGTATAGTTACAAAGAATATTTTAGAGGGTTCTTTCATTGTTTTCTAGTGATTTTTGTTAAAAAAAATCTAAAAACACAGATGCTGGTGAGGGTCTCGACATGGAGTAGTGCTAGCCAGGGGTCTGTAGATGCAGGTGTGCCTACTGTCTGCACTGCAGCACTTTGTGATGCAGGATGCCTGAATCTGCAAATTGGATAATCACTTCAGTGAGCCAACTCTGAACTATTTTCAGGGTGACACTTTTCTCTTTCTTGGTATAAACATGAGCCTTTTTAGAAAAGCATTTTTTTTGTTTTGTATGTGCTTTTGTTTGCTCCCCTTTCTCTTTTTACATCTATTGTAAAAAAAAAACAAAAAAAAAACTTTATTTAGTAGCAGTATTTTATCTGACAAGAGATACATTATTATTGTTTTAATCTTCTCATCATCTCTTTTAAGAAAGGGTGGTTAGGTGAGTGAACAGATCTAAACTGAGATCAGAACCCAAAACTGAAACATGCAGTCTTATATAGGGTTGTTACGATACAAAAATTCCAAAATTGGATACTCTTTGTGATTTCTGGTACCAAGGCTAATAGAAAGGACAAGACATTTAAGGCATGAAATCTCACCTTTTCATTCTTAACATTGAACATGAACAGATTCTGTTAATTAAATAAGTGTGCAAATAAATCACCCAAATATCACAGTTTAACAATATTTTAAGGTTGGTTGTTGCATTATATTTTTTTTAATATTCAAATAATCTAGAAATCTAAAATTAACAACAGCAAAAAATATGCAAACAGCACTTGTATTAATAAGTATCGATACCATGCTAACCTAGTGTCATATCCAGACATAGAATTTGAGTATCAATACTTTTTTTGAGTATTAAAGTTCTGACAATAAAAATATTGTAAGAATATAAGTCAATATATATAAGCACTATTATATACTGAGAATTGTGGGTTTTATACACACACACACACACACACACACACACACACACACACACACACACACACACACACACACACACATATACATATATATATATATATATATATATATATATATATATATATATATATACACACACATACACTATCTAGACAGCCACTTGGATTTTACATATCTATCATCCAGAACTGTTCGAGATTATATTTAAAAGCAAACGGTGCGTAAATAACTGGTTGGATCCAGTAAAAGCTGCAGAAATGACTAGTTATCAAAATAAGGAAATAAATGACCCCAGTCTAAATGTCCGACACCCTTTGCCATTCTGTGTGAATAAATCAAGTGACTGACAGTGGACACCTTCAGGACCGTTGGCAGCAAGTTTACAAAGTTGTCACTTCAGCAAAAGAAAAAGAAAAATTAGCCGTGTTGCTAACATATTCAGTAGCTATAGACGTACCTTAACCGCCGATTCTGTACTTACTTTCACTTAAGAAAACGAATATCTCTCAGTTTTGCAAAGTTTTTCTTCGAAAAAGGTGTCAATTACTGAAACCAGTTTTAAGGAAAGGGTTGTTGTCCAATTTTGACGTGCGCTGACTTGTTTTTCAACAAACCAATCAGGGCTTTGATATTATGGACAGTAGCCAATGTGGTTAGAGAAGAGGCGGGACGTGCGTAGTTTTGTTTTCGGAAGCAAAAAAAAATTCTTCCTGAAACTTGAACGATGACACGTGACTTTAAGAGGTTACAGGGGGTAGTCAGGTGATCTTTACAAGTCGCATGCGAACATATCACGTATACGTGAACATAAGCGACTATTCTCGTGTTAGGGCTTTAAAGGAGTATGTTACTGTTTACCACGTTGGAAGTGAGAGCAGTACTAGATAAATGTCAAGATAAACTACAGCAAATTTGGTACGGGTGTCTCCGAGTATTGTAGCCTTTTGTGTAAAATAGCCTTTATTACAATACGCTTAATGTCTCCGTAAAATCAGCAAAACGAAAGGCGGTGAAGAAACACATCAAACAAGGAAAGGAATGTGTCCGAGTGACATTCCTTTTACCTCCGCCAGGGGGAGACAACAACACATTTATTATTTTCATCTGACTTTCTCTTCCTTGATCTTTGAGGTTTCTATTCAATCCTTTTCTTTCCCAACTTTTTGTCCATATCACCTCAATGTGTAGTTATATCAGTTTTTTCATCTTTTACTCAAATTATAACCAGAGGTGGATAGAACAGCCAAGAAATTATTTGTGAATATAACTGCCAGAGCAAGTTTTACTCCAGTATGCAAATAGTGAAAATATGATAATAAAAACAAATTTGAACTTTATTGATATCACATTAGATACTACCATTAAAGCAATTACACAAGTTAGGGTAAAAAAAAATATATATATATTTTTACCAAATACCTAAATTGACCATTAATAGTGATTCCATAAAGTTATTTAAAAAAAAAAAAACAATCCACTGGACTTGATTTCCAAGATTTGGAAATCAAGTCCAGTGGATTGTTTTTTTAAACTTTTACGGAATGACTATGACCTGGATGACTGAGAATCTTCATCAGCTTAATAGTGATTGTTTTATTAACAATCATTTGTATTTGAAATAATGTTTCTCTCTCATTTTTTAAGAGACAGAACAATAGAATATCAAATTTCAGGATGGCCTTTGGACAGCCTTCTTTGCAAGCAAAGTAAAAAGCACCATTATTTTGCAACGCTGATCTCGATATTCATTTTACCACCTGACATGAATTTATCAACTGCATTCGTCTCCATGCTGTTCTCTCATTTGGACTGAACTGGATTCCATAATGCTTAAATTATTAGCACCGTTGCACTGCAGCAAAAGGGTCCTTGGTTTGAATCCCAGCCAGGGTCTTTCTGGAAATTCTTCTTTAGCTAATATCACCACTACAGTTGAAGTGAAAGGTTAAAAAAACAGTAAAAAGGTAGGCACCCCAAAGTATGATCATCATCATTATATATATATATATATATATATATATATATATATATATATATATATATATATATATATATATATATATATATATATATACATATATATTCTATTTATAGATGTTCACAGTGAAAAATACAACAAATTATTATGTAATATATTTTATTAAAGTTTTTAGACATAGTTACAGACATCTTGAGTTGTCGTCTTTAGCAAGCAAATTAATGTGGGCTAATGGTCACACATACCTCATAATGAAACTTCATCACTAATATCTTTACTGCTTTAGTAAAATGATACACCCGTGATATATTATCTAATGTTTTCATTTGTTAAACATGGATATATAACCTTTTTGCATTGTGTCTCAGTCCTTTGCCCAGAACTTTTGTGTATTCAGTATAGATGATGATAAAATCTACAACTCAGAATCAACAGTCCTTAAAGGTATAGTGGAAGATTTTGGTGATTTTTTTAAAAGACCCGCCCTCTCCTCTTAAAAAAAAAAAAAAAAAAAATGCACATGCACAATCCTGTATTCGCTCCTGAGAGGGAACACTTATTAAGAGCATTCAAAAGCCCATTTCTCCTTGTGCACGCTCTGTTTAAAAGTTGCTGTTTACAGCTCATACAAGCTTACTTTCCAAAAGAAGATAAGAATTTTCCACTATGTCAGACTCACCACCAGTAAGTGAAAATGGGGACGAGCACATAGGACAGCCTTACATAAACATATTACCAGAATGATTGACAATTAGGAGGACCACTTATTTTGATGATCCACCTGGAAAAATAGCATCCTCCACTATACCTTTTACTGCCTATAAATGAGAGTGAGGATTATAAAAAACAACATTAGTTGAAGGCCATAAAACACATTTTAGAACAAAGGTTAAAAAACAAGCTTGAATTTTTAACATTTAACTTATTGCCTTCTATATTTGATGACCTGTCAGCAGCATATTTTATGGATAACGACTGAGAAGCTAATATAAATCTGATTCTTTCAAAGAAAACAAGAATGGTACAGCAGAGGCAGGCGGAGTAAAGTATTGAAGGTAATTTTATCAATACAAATTTTTGATAAACATATTGAACACAAATGCTATCCATATTTTTTAATTATTAGTGAGCCATCTTCAAAAAATGTGAGTATAATAGGAAAACACACAAAATATTTACATGGGAAGGTTGTTTTGGGCAATGTGGCTCAGTGCCCAGGGTGTAGTTTAGAGGCAGGAGCAGTTGGGGAGAAAAAACTCATCTGTTTCAGCCAATAACTTTTGTATTGTTTATCCATATGTTCATTCAATGGGGATTAGGCACCACAACCTAATAATAATTTAACTTTATTGATCTCACACTGGAGAAATTCACTTTCTGCATTTGACCCATCCCCTTGGGGAGCAGTGGGCTGCCACTGTGTGGCGCCCAGGGAGCAGTGTGGGGTTAAGGGTATTGCTCAGGGACCCAGAGTGCAGGTTGTGGGGATCAAACCGGGTACTTGCAACCTTCTCAGAGCACAAGCACCCTGCTCTAACCACTAGGCAAACACTCCCCACCTGTCAAGCAAATATGGCTTTGCACTGTCTTTATCTGATAACACTGAATTTGAACTAATCTAATTAATCAACAAGGAATAAATATTCAATTCAATTGTCAATTGACACCAAGTGATTTGTGAATCTTACATCAAGTCTGTGAAAAAAGAGAGTATTTTTTTTTCTTCAGCCTCTTTACAGTGATCCACTGGACCACCTCTGAATGAAAAAAGCCAGGATTGAAAAAGCTAGAGGCACCACTTAAGATTCTTCTTTAAATTTAAAAGGAGAGACAGATCTGAAGTTTTGCCAATGTGGGGTAAAATGCTCTAAAACTGTCTTCTTATGAAGCATAAGGTGCCCCTTTTTATTCATCCCTTATACCAAATATTGTGTAGTGGTGATCTAAACAGGTGCTACGTTCACTTCTGTTTCTGTCAGTAGTGCTCATTTATACAGTGACCTTTTTAATCACTTGACCTTCTTGTACAAGAACTTGTTTTCCTTCTCTTCCCTCCTCTCTTCTGATTCCTCTCTTCTTCTTTGTCAGGAGGTGAAACACCAGCACGATGGCCACCATCGAAAAACTGAGAACAAGTATGACCAGCCCAAGTCCTAGCAAGGTAAAGTTCTCGTTTTGGAACCTACCCAGCTGGTCCCAGATCGCCACAGCCAAGCAGCTGAGTCCGATCAGAGTTCCCCAAAAACCAAAGGCCAGGATACAGGATCTACAAGAGAGTTCCACTCCACCAGTTACCACAGTGATGCCTGCCACTGAGACGACTCCGCTGGAGAAAGTAACTGTTTCAGGCCGACACCGGTAGGAAGCTGCTGAGGTAACATCTGGCAAAGTTGAAGGATCAAGGGTCTCCATCTTGGCTGCCATTGCTGTTTTCTTATCAGCTTTGTAATCAGATGAGATGGATCTCAGTGAAACTTCCTCCTTTTTCCTTCACCTATAAAACAACCCAGAGTCCTGTTAAAAATGTAGCAAAGTAATTTTGTATGAAATTTCTCTCCACAGTTTCTGCTTGCATTTCCCCAAATTGTGACAAACTGCACATGGGAAGAATATTTTCTTCACAATGAATGTCTTTCAGTCAACAGATTCTGCTAACTAGCCTTTCAGTTTCTGCAGATCCTCCAGAGATACAATGGGCTCCATATTTCCTTCTATGATTGATGCTCTTATGACACAACCAGGTCCCCAATATTCAAGTCAATGACTTAAACCACTAAATCATGGGGACTCTGGTGAATAATCAAAATATTCATCTAAAAGTTAGAAACCATGTATAATTGACCTTAACCTCCATAAAAATAAAGCTCAGTTTGCATTAATATACTACATCAAATCAATAAAAATGGAATAAGATTTGGTTGGTTGTAGCAAGAAATTAAAGGTCTTTTTGGATGATGTATTCTGCCTGTTTAAATAGATTTTTTTTTTCCCAACGTAAAATAAATTACACACAGTAAATATTTATCCCTCACTTCTGCTTTTGCAGCATTTCATGAACATACATATGTGACATTCCTTTGAGATGTTTGTTGTCTGGAATACATCTCAAACTTTAATGTCTAATACTACTCCATAACTAAATATGCCAAGCTTTAATTCCAGCCTTGCATTTGTTTTCATGAAATAGTTTTAGCTGACCATCCAAACAAAATAAAAAGAACTGAAAACCCTGATTTAAACATTAACATACTTTATATGTTTAAAATCCAGATACCATGTTAAAGTTGTAATCTTAGATGATCTGGTAAATTGTCTTGTGAAGGAAAAGCAGATTACTGCTTACCTCAGTGTTGAACCAGGAGAAGTCAATAGAAGTTCAGAGGTAAGGTTCCAATAGATTTAATACCACAAATATTGTAAATGTATTAAAGCCTGTGGTTGCTGCCGATGTTCTCTCTTAACTGGGAGATGTAACAATGGGAGCAGATGCTCAAGTCCTTGCAAATGTTGCCTACTTGGGTTCTTGGACTAAACTGTAGACAAAGTTATCAAGATTGTAGCCATAGTTTGTTTATTCCTCTCCTTCCTTGTTTTACAAGGAAGCTCTCGTCTGTCATTACCCGTCATTA